GGTGTCCTTTTATAGACAGGTACAAACAACTTACATCATTTCTATACGTACCAGGTTACCACCCTCTGTTGCCTAGTTACCACCCCTCACCTTACGGAAGGGGGGCTTACTTACTATCCTTCATGCTGTCAGTTCCGACCTGGTCCTGAACCTAGGTCGGTATGTGCATTAGTTTTTAGGGAGTTTTTGTACCAAGACATTTCTTATTAAGATGTTCCATTACTCCCCTTTGGCTTACAGTCTGTACCCAGTGCCTCCCTGTGTCCTTCCATGCTCAACCTAACTTACACAATCGCACAGTTATCAATGGGGCCTCTTTCTTGGCTCCTGTTACTGAACCAAAGTCTTGATCACTAGATTGCAGGCCTGTTGCTGTTTTCACGTTACAGGCTTCTATTTAGGCCTGCTGACTCCATGTTACTGACCCTCAACTTACTACAGATGGGATCTTGTGTATTGGGGATTGTACTTTTACTTTGCTGAGCTTCCTAGATAATCTGACCAGGATGCTGCAATGCTCTTGTTTTATGCCCAGTCTGCTGGAATTGGACACAAAATAAAATAGATTTTTTCCAAGCATGTTAAGCATCGAGTGACCCCTGACTCTCCAGTCCTTATGTATCTGGAGTTTTGGGGCCTTAGGCAGCAGATGTTTCCCTTAGTGCCCTATACTATAACTGGTTCAGCTGACATCAGTACCTGCAGCACTCTGGGGCTACTTCTAGACTGGCATGATTTTCTGCAAATGCTTTTAACTGAAAAGATTTCCGTTAAAAGCATTTTCGGAAAAAAGCATCTAGATTGGCACGGACGCTTTTCCGCAAAAGCACTTTTTGCGGAAAAGCGTCTGTGCCAATCTAGACGCGGTTTTGTGCAAGAAAGCCCCGATCGCCATTGGGGCTTTTTTGCGCAAAACAGTTTTTAGCTGTCTACGCTGGCCCTCTTGTGCAAAAACATTTCCGGAAGGGCTTTTGCCCGTACGGGAACGTCAAAGCATTTGCGCAAGAAGCACTGATTTTGGACAGTAGAACGTCAGTGCTTTTGCGCATAATCAAGCGGCCAATGTAGAGAGCTGGCAAGTTTTTGTGCAAAAGCAGTTGCTTTTGCGGAAAAGCTTGCCAGTCTAGATGCAGCCTGAGTGTTCAGGGTGGATCTCCAATCCAAGTCCTTATCAGACTTAATGTTGCTTAGCTTGTGAGCTCACAAGATCATGAGAACATGGCCAGTCAAGATTCAACAATGGAAATGAAATAACAGCTATTTTAACATATGCTAAACAGAGGGAAGGCCTCAAAAAGGTCATTTTTAGGTCTGTTTCTCTTTCACAAAATGGAAAATGAGCATTTAAAAACAATAACAATTCTGCCTTTTAGGGAATACCTCATTCATATATTCTGCAGCCAAGAGTGTATTTACTGAGGAAGTTTTATAAAATAGAATTTGTTAATCTGCTCTGATAAGCATTTGCAGTCGAAAGCACTTTTCAGCCAAGATCAGTTATAAAAAACGGGTCAGCTTTATTATTTCCATTTTGCAGATGGAAAAATGAAAGCCCAGTGAGATGAAGTGATTTGCCCAATGTCACACAGTCAGTGGCAGAGCAAGGCAGATAATTACAGTCTCCTGGTGTCTGATCAGGGGTCCTATCTATTACACCATTCTGCCCCGTCTTATTGTGCACAAAAGACTGAAGCGAACACTTCTCCATCTTTACACTAGACTTACACTTGGGTTCCTTATATCCAATACTTTGAGTTTGGATGCTTAAAAAAGGCACAGTGTATTTAAATGCAACTATGAAAACTTCAGGATACTAGGTGTGCTATATAGTTCCATCACTTGTAATGAGAAGGTTGTTATCCATGGCAAAGAATTGTATGAGACAAGAAATGGTTTCCAATTGTAAAATACAGAGTAGGTGTTTGAGAACCACAATACCGTATGTAGTGTATCTACTTCAGTTATCCTAATATTAACTAGAGCACTCAAGGGAACAAAGAAAACATTTCTTGTGTCGTACAGGTGTAAAAGTTCTCTGGTCTGCCTTCTTGGCTTTTCTGCTCACATCACAGTAGGGAGGAGGTTTATGTGACTATCTGCATGAAAACAAATTTAAAAATGTAGGCCTGGTCTGTGTTTAAAACTTACACCAGCTTAGCTATATTACTTAGGGGTGTGAAACCCCCACACCTAGCATAATAGCTGTGCTGACAAAAACACCAGCATAGACCCAGCTATGCTAATGGAAAAAGGGAGGTGGTATTCCTAAACCAGCAGAACTCTTCCTTCTGTTGGTGGATTCTGCATCTACACTAGGGGCCTATGCTGGTACGACTATATCAGCATAGCTATGTCAGCATCAGCTCTACAGCATAGACAGAACTTTAGCAACTGGTTGAAGGAACAGAAGAGAGGAGATGCAGTTGGGAGCACACAAGGGAGCAGAGGATTTCAGATATAGCAGAACCAATTCAGTTCCACGATGTGGGGAGGAAATGCAGGATTTGGGTAGCCCAGAAAGGAGATCCTGACTTACATGCACATTGGAACAGAGCTTGGGAGCAGGGCAGGGCAGAGTCAAGGGTAAGAAGAATTCACTTTAGTCAGGTAGAACTGCCACTATACAGATCTATTAATCACTGTCCATAGCCACTCTACAGTTGGTGGGGAAGGATTCTTGTCCCACGTGGAAAACTTTATGTACAGTTCAGCTACTTAGGCTGTGTACTTTGGAAATTATGTGCCTTATTTTGTCAATAATTTAAATGTCATTTATGATATGTTAAAATCTGACTGTCCTCTGACCTGGGTGTGGTGAACGCTATTCTCGTAGGAACCTGTGAACACAGGAGTGCTCCAGAACGCTATGGCAGGGGTGGCCAACCCGTTAGAGACAATGAGCCAAAATAGTGGTGGATGCAGCACAAAGAGCCGAGAGAAGGAAGTTGTCGAGAAAAAAAATAGCTGCCCCTTTAAGAGCCGCATGTGACCCAAGCGGTGACCTGACCAGACAAAAAAGACGGTCAGAGCAGGGGAATGCAGAACAGTCGTGGGTGAAGGAGCCGAGCTATGGATGCGGGAGCTGCAATTTTTCCTTTGAAGAACCGTGGGTTGGCCGCCCAAGCTCTATGGGATACTGTTCATGATTCCTGTGCTTTCTTAGCTTTAAAAGGCTAATACGTTTTAAAATCAGACACACAGACAACTGGGACAATCATTTGTATTATCGACTTTGCCAGGTCACTCACTAGTGCTGTCTTTTATTCAGGCACCCTAATTGTGCTGAAATATCCATATCCCCGGAAAGTGGAAGAACCTTCCATTTATGAGTCTGTCCGGGTTCACACTGCAATGCAGACAGGAAAAACTGAAAATGATCTTGTCCCGAGCGCTCCTTCGGTAAGTCACTCTTCTGTTATTAAGTCTGAGTGTAACACATCCAGCAAAGCAAGCTCTAGACTAGCATGCACTGATGATCTGCCCTTTAAAAAAATGGTTATAGCCAATAAAATCACAAGTATATTCAACTGTTTTATAAAATGCAATAGCATAGACATCTTTAAAATAATAGTACTGCACTTGTAATCCTAATTTAAGTTTGGCATTTAATTACTATTTAATTACTATTCCATATTCCAATTGTTATTTGTCTAAGTATAAGTGTCCTGTCATACCCCCCAAAGGTCCTTTGCATATTCTGTGTTGCCTAGTTCTGGAACAAAAACCTAATTATATTCTAATCACCAAAATTGGCAAGTCCATAACCCATACTATCTAAATTAATAATATTAACCTTCTAAATCAGGCAACACTTAGTTCTGTAGTCCTGCCTTGAGTGCAGGGCTCTGGACTAGATGATCTTCAAGTCCTGAACTTTTATGATTCAATGATTTCCACATGTCTCAAAAAAGATGATGAAAAGTCAGGCCCTTCATGAAGTTTCAAGGAGTGAACCTCAGAAGTTTAGTCACTTTTGAAAATCATAGCCAAAATTTTGCACCCAACATTCAAACTGTAGTTAAACAGACGTTTTTGCCTAACCAAATCAAAAATTCCCTAGTGTATTCTTTTGTGTTACACATGTTCTGTTCATATTTTACTCATCTTTAGTTGGCCGGGCTTTGGTGACACATAGCGATTACTTAACCAAAGCAAATGTGTCCCAGTTCTTTGGGCTTTTTTAATGTTTCCAGAACCGTTTTCTACATGCATAATCCTTTTAGCTGGTGAGATCTATTACAGTACTTAAGTACTATGCTATGTGGCAGCTAGGTAAATGGTTAATTGCTGTCTATATTTACTGCATTTAGGTCATTATAGACTATGAATAGACGCTGACCTGCACACACTCACAAAAGGACAATTTGAACCCTTGTGTAAGAGAGAATTCACTCCTTTGAAGTCAGTAGAATGACTTTGGGGGGGAATTTGGCCTACACCATGGGGACAGCATAGAAATTACACATGCATAAAGATAAGAAGAGTGGTTGTGGGAGCTATCTGTAGGAGAGTGAACTATTGTTCGATTTTGTTTTGCTCATAATAAAAAAGGAACAAAATATAAAAACACCTCAGCCTTTTATTTTGATCCATTTTCTTGGTTTTTTGCAGCTTGGTACAAAAGAAGGATACTTAGTAAAACAAGGCAAAATAGTAAAGGTAAGATAAACTTTCTCTGGTTAAATATCCTCTATAGTGAAATAAGAAATAAATCATTATGGAGAAAAATAGAAACAAACTCTGGCAAATGAAGACTAAAAGTATAATTAGGCAGGCCAAAAAAAAATATGAAAAGCAGCTAGCAAATGATACAAAAACTAATGATAACTATCAGGAGCAGGATGTCTGCTAACAAACGATGGAGACACTGGGCAACTGAGGTGCTAATGGAGAACTCAAGAAAAATAAGGTCAGTGTGGAGAGCTAAAATAAGTTTTGCTTCAATTTTCACTGCACAGGATATGTGGGAGATTCCTACACTTGAGCCATTCTTGTTAGACAACAAATCTGAAGAACTATCCCAGAGAAGGGATGTAAAAGTGTAGTCGATTAACGGATTAACTGATAAGCAAAAGCTTATAGGTTAATGCTATAGATTACATGCATTTCCCTCCCCCACACTTGCCAGCAATTTTTTAGCAGGCTGGCTAGCAGCCCGGCTCAGTCCTGGCTTGCATCGGGTCTGGGACCTACCCCCGCTACAGCTCTATATTTAAAGCATATTAGGAGCCAGGTGGGCAGGCAGCCCAGTTCAGTTCCAGCTCATGCCGGATTTGGATGCTCAGTCCATTCCCTAGACAGGGGCTGCTGCCACCCCGTGCCACTGCCACTATCACTGGCAGCAGCACAGAGTGACAGGCAGCCAATCCACAAGGGGAGCTAGTTTTTAAACTGGGTCCCATTGCAGACCAGCTCTCACCTGGTACCCCAAGCTGCTGTCTCTGATACTGAGGCAGCAGCACAGAGTGGCAGGGTCTTCTAGGGAGTGAAGCTGGAGTACAGTGGCTGCTGGCCCCGCCCCTGCGTACTATACACTAGTTGAGTAACCAATAAGAATTCATGAAGTTACTCAATTATTCAATTAACCGATATTTAACATGCCTATCCCAGAGAGGAGTGTAAATAGAGGTGGTTTTCAAACAAATTGATAAATTAAGCAGTCCTAAGTCTCCAGACAAGATGGTATTCATCCAGGAATTCTGAAGGAACTCAAATATGAAATTGCAGATCCACTAATAGTGGCATGTAACCTATTGCATAACTCAGAGTCTGCATCTGATGATTGACAGTATTTGTTTTTAAAATTAAGCCATCCTGGCAGTTATAGGCCAATAAGCCTGACTTCAGTGCCAGGCAAATTGGTTGAAATGATAGTAAAGAACAGAATTAAGACTCATAGATGAACACAGTATGTTGGTGGAAGAGTCGACATGACCTTTGTAAAGAAAAATCATGCCTCGCCAATCTATTATATTTCTTTGAGGGGAGGAGATAAGTCCACAAACATATGGATAAGGGTGAGCCAGTAGATATAATGTACTTGGACTTTCAGAAAGTCTTTGACATGGTCCCTCACCAAAGGCTCTTAAGCAAACTAACTAGTCATGGGATAAGAGTGAAAGTCCTCTCGTGGATGAGTAACTGATTAAAAGATAGGAAACTAAGGCTAGGAGTAAACAGTCTGTTTTCACATTGGAGAAGGGTACATCAAGAATCCGTACTGAGACCAGTGCTGTTCAACATATCCATGAATGATCACAAAAAAGAGGGTAAACAGTGAGATGTGAAAGTTTGCAGATGATACAAAATTACTCAGGGTAGTTAAGTCCAAAGCAAACTCTGAAGAGTTCCAGTGGGATCTCACAAACCTGGATGTGTGGTCAAGAAAACGGTAGATTAAATTCAGTGTTGATAAGTGAAAAGTAATGCACATTGCAAAACATAATCCTGACTATACATACAAAATGATAAAATCAAAATTAGCTATTATTGCTCAAGAAAGTGATATTGGTTTCATTGTGGCTAGTTCTCTGAAAACATCTGCACAATGTACCGTGGCAGTCAAAAAAGCTAACAATGTTAGGAATGATTAGGAAAGAAATAGATAAAAAAAACCCTGACAATATAATGTCACTATACAAAGCCACTTTGAACACTGCATGCCATTCTGGATATACCAGCTCAAAAAAGATATGTTAGAACTGGAAAAAGTACAGTGAAGGGCAACTAGGGGTGAGGAACAGTTTCTGTATAAGGAGAGATTAAAAAGAGATGATTGAGGGGAGGTATGATAGTGTGCGGTAAAATTAGGAATGGAGTGAAGAAAATGAATAAGGAAGTGTTATCTACATCTTCACAAAACACACATACCAGGGAGTCACAATTAAATTAATAGGCCACAGTTTTAAAAGAAAAGGAAGTACTTCTTCACACAATACCATCAACCTTTGGAAGTCGCTGCCAAAGGATGCTACGAAGGCCAAAACTATAAATGGGTTTAAAAAAGAATTAGACACTTTCATGGAGGCTAAGTCCATAGCCAGGATGGTCAGGGATGGAACTCCATGCTTTGGGTGTCCCTAAATCAGTGACTGCTAGAAGCTTGAATTGTGTGACAAGGAATGAATTGCTTGATACATTTTCCTGTTCTGCTGCTGAGGCATCTGGTACTGGCCACCATCAGAGACAGGATACTGAGCTAATTGGACCATTAGTTTGGCCCAAGATGACTTTCTTATGTCCTTGATTTCTTTGTCAGACAGTTGCTCAAAGGTCCATTTCATTGGTTTGATATTAAGTGCTGCACTATATACATATTTCATTGTTTTTTAAATCTTTCTGTCAGTTTGATCCTCTGCATCTCATGACCTCAGCCCTCAGCTGACACAACTGAGGCTGTACAGAGGACCTCACAATAGCAGGCTATGCCAATCTGGACCCTAAGGTCTATCAGTACAAGGGAACCCGTGACTTGAAGTCTCAAGCTCTGAGCTTTCCCAGTAGCTTTGATCTGAGAGGCAGAAACAATGCCTTTTCAGGCCAGGGGTCAAGGGCAAGCCATCTAATGTCGTTGAACTCCATTTTCCCATCTGTAAAATGGTGATAAAACTTATTCTTTGTAAAGAACTTTGTGATTTGTAGGCAGAAAGTGTATAGTAATTAATGTGATAATCAAGTCTACGCCTAGCATGGTGGTCAAGGTTTTCACTTTAGTGTATCTAATTCCTATTTTATATTATATATAAAATAGCCATGTTATTTTTTGGATGTCAGTCTAATTTAGTATAGGATACTTCCTGTTAAAGGAAAGTGCACTTCTGAGTATTTATATAGAGCCTCTTATAGTTAAGAACCAAAATGGTTTGAAGGAAAAGGTTGTTTGATTTTCGCTGCTGTTTTTTTTTTTACTTTGTTTTAAAATTTTCAAAAAACCCATTTGCTTTTTTTAATTTCTCAGAATTGGAAAATGAGGTGGTTTACATTGTATAGGAATGAACTTAAATATTTCAAAGACCAGATGGTGAGTAGCAAATTGTAATTTGAAATTGTTTAAAATGATCAGATCTGATTTAAATCCCTTGGAATTCAGTGGCCCTTGGTCTACACTAGGGGATAAGTTCAAATTAAGATATGCAACTTCAGCTGCGATAGTTGCGTAGCTTAAGTCAAAGTATCTTACCTTGAATTTTGGCTCTGCTCACACTGGGAAGTCAAAGGGAGCACACACTCCCTTTGGCTTCCCTTACTCCTTGTAGAAGCAGGACCACTGGCATCGACAGGAGTGCCCTCTCAGTCCAAACTAGTGTGTCTTCCCTAGACCTGCTAATTTGAACCCTGGAAGGTCAACTGCAGCTGCTTCAAGTTTATCTGTAGTGTAAACATCGCCTGGGAGTTTTAGGTGCCCTAAGCATTCTTCAGGATGGGTCCAAAATACCTCAATTTCAGTGTTTACATCACTGCAATGCGCTGCTTCCTGACCTTGTGTTTTTCATATATGCACTTGGGGAAATCACGCATGTTTTTAGCCATCACATGCGATTCAATGACAGAGTGAGTCTGGTCCCAGGGAAGCCAATAGTAGTTTTGTCATCGACTTTAGAGAATAATTGTAAATATTACAGCCTAGTAGATGTTTAATAGCTTGGCCATAACCTGAATACAAAGCTGTTCTTTCTAGTACATTCTAAATCACTTTATTCAATCTAGTTTACCTGACAGAAACAATGTACGACATTGGAGACTGTGCCTTCAAGAGCTGAGTTTCTGAGGGAGAATGAGTGAGTCTGGGCACCAGGTTGTGCAGTTTTTGTTTTTATGCACAGCCAGTGGGAACCAGATACAGAATAAAGAAAATCTTTTACAAGCCCTTAATCACTAAGTGATCACTGAATACCACAATGGCACTTTTACTTGAGAATGCTGTTCCACAACCTAACTGAATTATTACTGGAATTATTACAGGGTTTATTTTCTTTTCCTCAGTTTCATCCCATTATTCTGAGTTACATAATATCTTTCTTCCCCTTATGGCATGCCTGGTTTCTAAACATTTTCTTTCCATTGCCCTGTTTTACATTCTTTTGCCCCAGATGTAACATCCTGGATTTTTCTTGGCTGAATCTTACTTCATTTTCTACCTACGTTTCTAACCTTCCTAAGCCCCTTTATATAATCTCTCTGTTCTTGCTGGTGTTTGCAACACATCCCAGGTTAGCATCCTTTGCAAAAGTAGCCAACAAATTACCCCTGCACGCCCTTCATTCCAGATCATTAACAGAAATATTAAATAAGACCAACATAACACTGAACTAGAGGTTCTTTTAAAGCCCACTGAACCCTAACTGAGCCCGCGTAGATAGTGTCATTTTCAGACCCAACTCACCTGGAACTGGCCATTTCTCACTGAACCTGTGTAAGTGCTGCCATGCTGCTTTTTCATAAGGATTTGGCCTCATACTTGGGATCTGTTGCCAGTCACTGCCTGCCTGTACAGTGAGTGGAGGGGGCTATGTAACCCATGTCTGCCTGCTCCCGCGTTGTGCTGTGTATGGCACAGGAGAGGGGCTGTGACTTGTTGGCACAAGCTCTCCACAGCAAACGCAGAGCAGGGAGGCAGCACCTGCTGGCAGGAATGGGGCATGTCGCTGCTGCTATGCTAAGCCCTTGGGCTAGTGGAGCTGAGCAGAGCCTGCCCAACCTGACTGAGCACAAGAAGGTCAGATTGGTGTCATACCTGACATGACCCAAACCTCACACTTGTAGTCAAGTCCTGGTGGATTTGGGACTGGTTGCAAGGCTCTAAAGTGGACGTCTTCCTCACAACTCATTACTCTGGCATTTATTTATGGTCCTTCAACCAGCTTTCAGTCCCTGGCCTCATAGTCAAGGCCATTTAAATTATGTTTGCAGGGGAACTCTTCATGGGGCACCGAGACAAATGTTTGACTAGCTTTGCTTCCCAGAAAGGAGCTTTAGAAAATACCATTTTTCTGGGTGGCTTGTGGATATCTGTGGACAAGGAAATACTGTGTGCAAAAAAACAAACGCTAACTTTCTAACTTACACGTTGGCATGTTGTACTAGTCTCCCCACACAAATGGCTCTTCTGTAGCTTGTGGGTAGATAAGGCCTCAGAGCAGTTATGTGCCCTGAGGCAAAAAGAAGAAAGTTACTTGTATGTCACACTCATCTATTCAATCTGAAAGCAAGAAAACCAAGATTGCTTTGGCATAGAACAGTCTGTTCTTTCACTTTGTAGGTTCTCTTCTAACAAGCTGGCCCAAGCAGGGCTGATAAGTAAAGTATCTCATACATGGAGAAAGGTCAAACACCCGGGAGAATGTTTGACTGTAAACCGTAGGAGTTCTTCAACTACAGAAACACAGACACCTATACCCTGCTCAAAGAAATGTAAAGCACACACGACTTCATCCAGAATCATCCAAAGAGCAATCTCCCCTGTTGAAATAGCCTTTTCATTTCTCTTCTTCCCCAGTTTCGCTCTGTTTAGTCCGTTGGGGAATCAACTCCCTCCCAGGTGGGCTACGTCCACTGTGGGTGAGAAAACAGCTCCAACCTTTCCTTTAACGAAGATAATCTTTTTCCTGCCCTCATAGGACAACACACTTTGTTTCCCCCTTTCCCAGAAATCCCACTTGAGTTGGAATCTACATGAAAATCCTTATGTTGGTAACAGAATTGGCAGCTATATCCTTTAAAGTCTGCCCCTAACCTGTTACCTTTCAGCTAGTGGTACCTTGCTGTCATCAGCTTCCCTCTAAATTTAAAGGTATGTTCCTGTTTCTTGCAGTCAGCATAATTCTGCTTTCAGCTACACTGCTGTCGATGTGGATAGACTCCACTGGAGTCAGTGTAGTGACTCTGCATTAACTCTACCGAAACAGAGAGCAGAATCTGGCCCCTTGGCACTTGTTAGTGCATGGAAAGGAAGTGAAGCCTTGGGAGTAAGGTCAGCTACTCTCTTTCTTCTGGTTTCATACATTCTCATTTTAAAACCATTTTATTTTCAAGTCCACAGAACCAATTCGGGCACTAGACTTAACAGAATGCTCAGCGGTGCAATTTGACTATTCGCAGGAACGAGTCAACTGTTTCTGGTAAGCTGCAGTTCCCGTGAACCCTTGATGTTTAACTTAGCTTTTCTGAAAACCCTAATGTACCTAGGAAACATTGATTGATCATAGGCAATAGCTGAATTCTACACAGCCCTGCAAGAGTCAATGCTAGAGTTAGAATTCTTGATGGACTATGGGGTTCATGCACTATTGAATTCCACTTCCACTCAAAAAACTGAATTCCCAGTGTAAGCAGGTGTAACTGACTAAGATTAGACCACTAAGCAGTCAACGTAAACATGGTTATTTTTGAGGTATACATTAAAGCCAACCCAACTCAATTCTGCAAAACACAGTTCATGTGTCTGTACTGGCCAGGCACAGTGTATTAACAAGAACTCATCAAGAACGTAATTCAAAAAATAGTTTTGGCTCAACAGTCCAAGCTGCATTGTAGGCAGGCTCCGAGACATTAACCATGCATGACTCCATCCGGAAGACTCAAAAAAAATTGTCTAGGACCAATGAGGGAGGAAGCACCACTATGAGAAGAACTATGGATTATGCTAATGGATTAAGATAGTTTACATTCTGTTTTCTTTACAGTTTAGTATTCCCACTAAGAACATATTACCTGTGTGCAAAGACTGGTATAGAAGCAGATGAGTGGATTAAGATACTGCGATGGAAATTGGTAAGGAACTGGTGGGTTAAATGCTAACATGGGCAGAAGCACACCAAAGACCAGAAACACATTTGTTGGCTGTTTCCTGTATGTACACATACAGAAGATAGATGTATTTACCATAGCAATGCATTAATGCCAGGTATAAGTGAATTGACATGATCTAGCCCGTTTCAGTTTGAATTACCAGAGATCAAGTTGTCATCTTAGAGTTTTTTTTTTTAATTCTTAAATCACAGATTTATTTCCAGTGCTACAGAATATCATTTTGGAGATGGCTTGAGATGGTTCTGCACAACGATGTATTCTCCTTCCCACTGGGCTCGTCTACACTGGCCCCTTTTCCGAAAGGGGCATGTTAATTTCACAGGTCGTAATAGGGAAATCCGCGGGGGATTTAAATATCCCCCGCGGCATTTAAATAAAAATGTCCGCCGCTTTTTTCCGGCTTTTAGAAAAGCCGGAAAAGAGCGTCTACACTGGCCCCGATCCTCCGGAAAAAAAGCCCTTTTCCATTGTATCTTATTCCTACTTCAAAGTAGATCCTCCGGAAAAGGGCTTTTTTTCCGGAGGATCGGGGCCAGTGTAGACGCTCTTTTCCGGCTTTTCTAAAAGCCGGAAAAAAGCGGCGGACATTTTTATTTAAATGCCGCGGGGGATATTTAAATCCCCCGCGGATTTCCCTATTACGACCTGTGAAATTAACATGCCCCTTTCGGAAAAGGGGCCAGTGTAGACGTAGCCATAGTGTGTACACTTAGCAATTTTATTTGTAAAAACGCTCTAGTCAAAAGGGCTCAAAGTAAAACACTAAACAGTTATCTCCAACAGCTTGTCATCCATGGTTTTATCATTAATTTTATGATTCCCCATGTTTTTCTTATGTACCAGGCATCATGCTGTTATATGAAAATCTGTTTCCATGGGAATAGAAGTGTCTTGCTAGCCATCATGGGAGCAGAGAAAAACTTTAAAACATGAAACCCAATAGCCAAAAAAATTAGAAGAAAAATAAAAAGAACCCCAGTTTTTTTAAAAAAATTTTTTATGATTTTAGGGACTTAACTCACGATTTTTGACTGGTTGGGGTTGGCAACACTGTGAATAAATGGAGAAATTATTGCTCCCTCGCAATATTTTTTATATTTCTCCCATTCAAATTTCAATGAGTCAGTTTGAACCTTCAAAGATTAACATGCAGCTTCTGTTGGCTTCAGTGAGAACTGCATGCTCAGAATCTATTCCACTGTATGTATAAAACATTGTCAGCCTCACATGTTTCAGAGTGGTGTTCACTTTGCTTTTTATGTGTTATACATGGCATTACAGTAAGTACATTAGACATTTGGCATTACATTGATCCTTCTGCTTACATGGTCAATCCCCTTTGTCTATCTTGCTTATTTAGACTGCAGACTCTTTGATGCAGGCCTTGTCTACTATTCTGTTCTTGAACAGTGCCCTCTGGTACAATATGGCCCCCTGTTCTTGGTTAGTTCCTAGGAACTATTTGATTGATAATAAAATATTATGGTATACTTACAGCATAGTCCCTTTAAAATGAGTCTGCCATGTGGGAAGGAAATGTTAGGTTTTTCTCCCAGGATCTTGTTTGTTGGAATTCCCCTACATGTCTGGAAATACCCAACCGGGCAAACCGATTATACTGGCTCTTTAGTTTGACATAATTGTATTAAAGAGATACACACACAAAACTGGGTAAGCATTTTGAATGTGCATATTCTACACTATTGTTTTCCTTGGGTGCCTTCTGTATTCATAGTCTTGTACAGAACACAAAGCAACATGGTCCCTGCACATTTTTACCTTGACTGGAGCTAATACAGGACAACACAGACAGCATACACTGGGTGATCAGATGAGAATCAAGAGGGCAGAGCAATGAGTTGTAAATCTAACTTGCTCAAAAACCAGCAGCTACTATTTTATCTATTTGACCAATTTTTCTTTTTCTTTTATGTTTCTTTTTAACTAGTCACATCATACATGAATAAATAATAGATTGTCTTTTGTTTCAGTCACAAATAAGAAAACAACAGGACCAGCGTGAAGCCACCTCTACTCTGTAGTTATTGTACCAATGACATTTCCTCAGCAAGATTCAATCTTCAGCATTTAAAAGCGTCATTTCACATGAGGGCAGCTCCAGCACATGCATTATCTACAGGGAACATCTCCCTACTTGCATCATAGACAGGATTAATACTAGCTGGACACTTTCAGAATGTGAAATGTTATCCATGAAAACTGTTGCATCCCAGTGATACTGGTTCCTTATCCAGCCACATTCCTAATGTATATTTAAGTGTGCCACCTTGTCTGTTCACTTACGCATCACAAAAATGTTCAGTATTTGAAAGTATAGTAGTAAAGCACTCTCAGGCTAGCATCATTGAACATATGTAATAAATAACTAACTTCTAGCAACAGCCGTTCTACAGGGTTTAACCTATTCATGTGACATCAGCTTTATACTGGAAACCTTAAATATTTCTTTTGCATTGTGGTTTAAGGGTTTAAATCTTAGAATATTGTCTCCAAAATAGATTTTTTCCCATGTTGCTGTGAAACTGACTAGAGTATATTTTTGTAATTTATGTGAGTCCCTTTTACATGGAAAATATAAAATTATTATTTTTAAAGTCCAGTGTCAAAGTGGGTGATACTTGATTATGATGAAAGATACTAGCATGTCCTCCATTTTGACAACTGTGTGTGAGATAGCCTCTCTTTCTGTAAAATAAATAGAATGTATCTCTCAGGAATGTACTATATTGAAAATATCCTTGCTGATATACTGGGGTGATAAGGGCACAAGGCATTTGAACCCCAGCTTCTCCATTCCTAGTACACACATAAAGGAATAGTCATACGATCCAATGGAATGAGGAGAGAATGCTCTATAGCAGTGGTGGGCAACCTGCAGCCCAACAGTGCCTCTGGCACAATGTGGCCCCCTGTTCTTGGTTAGTTCCTAGGAACGATTTGATTAAAAATAAAATATTAAGCATATATACAGCATAGTCTCTTTAAAATGAATCTGCCATATGGGAAAGAAAATGTTATTCCCTACCCCCTCAGAGTCTTGTGCAGACCCAGTGTTACCAGAGTCTGCTGATTTCTGATTTTTTTTCCTACTTGTATTACTAAAATGATACATGTAAAGCAAGGGCATGTGAAGGGCATTGCACACAACACTGACTGGAAGAGTTGTGCACTCCATCTGTCAAAGCACTGCTATGGCTCAAATTGGCAAAACCTTCAAATTCCAGCTACAGAAGTGCAGTTGGCAAAACTACCCTAACCCATGGGACCCTGTTGGTTACAACAATCTTGTGGCCCACTGAGATGAAGGAGGGCTACTCGTGTAGGTTTTCCATTGCGGTTCTACAGCCAGCAGAGCTCTTGGTTCCTATAGATGCTTAGTGGAAATCTAGCAGAGGCAGGTACCCTTCCCTTACCCCAATGAAGATAGTTAATTTTTTACATGTTTCTGCTAGAGGTATCTGCTTGTAATTATCTTTCCTTGGTTAGTATTGAGAGCTTACAAGCAGAAGCTATTCATTTTAGTTCATTAGGTTTGTGTGTCTTAGGGGACAGGGCAAGGAGCTAAGAGATAAGTTACATTCTGAAATGAATTGTAAAGCATCAAGCAGCTATCCAGACAAAGAAAGCAGGGCTCATGCATTTGTTCTGAAATATCAGATTTTTGGGCAGGTACAAGTCAAGCGAAAGTTTTACATTACACAAGACCATGCTATGTTGTCCCACCTTATAAACTGCTTTGGCATTTTTAAAATAAAGCTTGTACCCTGAGTACTTTAATTTTCTAAGTTGCCTTTACTGTGTGAAGAGAGGCATCTAGGGGTATGGCTAGACTGCAGGGGGTTTTCTGGATACCAGAGGTATCCCGAAAAAACTCTGTCCAGGGAACCTGTTTGCTCTTCCACTTTTTTTTGGCAGAAGAACAAACGTGCTCTTTCGGAAGCCCCTGTATTTCTCATTCCACGAGGAAGAAGGAAGCTTTTGAAAGAGGGTTTTTTCCTCCAAAATTTGGCTCAGTCTAGATGGGCCAAATGTCAGAAAAGCCTCTTCTGCGGAGCGCATTTTGCATATCTTTTTCTGATAGATCCTTGCAGTCTAGATATACCCTAAGCCTGGAAAAACAAGAGACTCTCTTATGATAGAGGAAGGGTCCAGAGTGTAATTACAGGAGTAGTATTTTGTTTTAACTTAGATGTTCACAGTATTTGTTGAATGTTTTTGTAAAAATATTTTAAAGTGCCCCAATAAATAGAGTTTTACTAAACTATTAAAAGATTCTCTTTTTAAACTTAAATTTAAGATGCCTGCAGTCAAGAAAGTTAGTAGAATGGTGCCAACATGCAAAGTTTTATAAGGTAATTAGTTCTATCCTTTATTCCTCCCAATAAATTATTTAACAATGCCACCTCTGATGAGGAGAGCTTTTAAATGAATTGAATGGTTTACAAGATAACTGCAACAGAGCTGAGTGGAGTCAACAGTATACACATCTCTCTAATGGTGAGATGACTTGAGTCCACATAGGATTTCCCAAGTAGAGTTCTGTCCCATGAGAAAAGGCCGTATTGCAGAATATTGGAAACAAAATGTAGTATTTTCTCACACACAAACTGAAGCCAGGTTAGAATACAGCTTACTGCTTTTCAAGTGAAGCTTCACACAGGATGTTATAGTGGTTGATCAGGGTCTTACAATGGCTGATTCATTTCTAGGTGGAATTTGAAGTGTTGCCTTGTATTAAAAAATGCAGATGTTTTGAGACTCGACTAGCTGAAAAACTGCTTCTTCTATGTGATACTTCTGCAGTTACAATCAGCACTAGTTGAAGCCTCTTAATATGAGAGCCTTAAAGAAGGCAGCTGGCAAAAGCATCCTCTATAAAGGTTCTTCAATTGCAGATTTAACAGTTCTATACGTTAGAGCCCAAATGTGATCAGTTTAGAAATATTCTGCAAAGCCTGTTTTTTTTCTGCTCAGGTAACTGGAGGGGCAGTGGGCTGAGGGATTCAAGGTCTGAATGGTAAGGTAGTATTCTTCTGTTGTGTTTGGTTTTTTTGAGGCAGAAACATCCCCCCTCAGCCCATCCCCAATTTGAAATGGAGTTCTAGTAACGGTTGCCAAGGGAAATCAGTACCATCTATTTTAAAATCACAAATCCTATACCAAAATATGAAGTTTTGCCTTAGAAAAGGCATTATATGGCTCCAAAGGGTTTTTTACTTCCAAAATCCCATACACACATGTATAGTTTGACATTTTGACAGCAAATAATTCAATTTTTTAATAAAAATGTAGAAATTCAAATCATGAGACCTAAATGAGTTTTACAGTTTACTTTTCAGCACATAAATTCCCCAAGTTGTACATTTACATAGCAACAAGGGAAATAGTTATCTGCATGGAAAAGTAGGTTTACCAGCAATATTTTAGAAGATATTAAAAAAACAGATTGGACTACATTTTTAAAAATACTGTTTTATTTAGACATCTGCTTAGGAAAACCTAAAGATAAATAAGCAGATGAAGTGTTACCTTTAACTTATGCACAAATACCACAACAAAAGACAAACCTGGGTCTCACACCTACACTGTACAAAAGAAATATAAGAAAGTGCAACACTGATTGGGCAACTTGTACTCAGTAATAAGGAAAAGGCTTGAAGCAGTAACTTCTATAGAAACACCAGCATCCTGCTCCTATACCAAGGAAACCCACATTCAGATTAGTAGTATTCCTTTGAATCAGCATCAGAAAAATTTAAAATATGGGATAATTATTGATTGTACTGCTATGACTGCAAACAAATTTCCTCTTTTTCTTAGCACATGTAATGAAGGGTTCATTACAGGACCATGAAAATTAATTCTGTTCCCCCACTATGTAGTGGCTAGTGAGAGGGTAAATCCTACTTAACGTTTTGTATTCTGAATGGCAAGAAAACGGGATCGCTTATCAGGAGCAACAGAATGCAGACTCTGGTCAATTCTATTAAGCCTGATCCTTCATAAGTGGGTCCACTGGAGCCATTTGGTGGTCTCTCCAGTAGTGCACAATACAAGATGTGTGGCCAAAGAGTCTCTCTCTAACACATTAGTATCTCACTGCAGATTCAGCACTATGTACAAATGTATTCTTATTTAGTACAATAAGTGGCATTTCCTCTCATAGGCTGAGAATTATTGAATCAGTTTGCCCCACTGGATAGTGAAGAGATGCTGCACTGTGAAGATACATCAAGGTTAAGAAACTTCTACAACCTGCCTCAACTCTTCAAACAAGGGGGCAAGCTCCTTCTCTAAGCTGACGATCAGTCCTGGAATGATAAAGAGAAGAGATACAAAATGGTTACACTACATAACATCCATTAAGGCTCTCTCCAAAGCAGTCAAACAAGAAAGCGTTTGCTAAAACGAAATTGTTTTGACTTCAGTTTCTCACACTACAAGGAAGCAGCATATGAGAGCTAGAGACAGCAGTTGACACTGCAATGTAAGTGCCCTTCTGGTCTCTGCCTTTCCAAAGCACGGATGGGGGATCAGATAAGAGCAAAACATGGCAGGAAAGTCCCTAGAACACGAACAAAGCCTATGGAAGCGCATTCTTGCTCTTTACTGGCACCTGCTGCATCCCCTCTACACCATGCAGGCTCTGGGGACTAGTGGCAGCATTCGTATGTTTCAAAGTCAGAACAACTCTACAACAGAGGATCCTCTCTGGAACAAGCAGAGCGCCAGGGGGACACACTGAAGTGCCAAACTCAGGGTTCTGCATAACTGAAGGGCATAATTTTGAGACAGGTTAACAGAGGCAACATCTGAGCTGCAGACTCTTTGTTACTACTAGTGATAATAAGGTTAATGCATTATTAAGCACTAATTTGCTAAGTTGCTCAAGACATGTTGAAGACATGACAAGACAGTATCTTCCTTGCAGACCTTAGCACAGGGGTGGGCAAAAGGGCCTCCGCGGGACGGATCCAGACCACCAAGCAGGTGGATCTGGTCCGTGGAGGCCCTGTTGCTCCCCTGCCCCCATACCAATTAGGGCCGAGGGGAGCACATGAAGCCTCCTCCCACCCTGCCAGGAGCACAAGGTGCTCTGAAGTGCTCCTCACAGTACGGGAGGAAGCTTCTCATGCTCCCAGGCCCTTAGTAGCCTGAGGGTGGGGGAGTGTGCCAAGCTTCTTCCAGGGCATGAGTACCTAGTGGGAAGGGGGGGCAAAGGGGTTCCCCCACCCCAAAACCAATCATGGTCTGGGGGTGGGGTAGCCCCGCCCCTTCTGGTTCAGGCCCCGCCCCTTCCCAGGTGGCCTGGGGCTACTTAAACATTTTTTGAAGTGGCACCCGGGCAAAAAAGAAGGTAAGATACATTGTCAAGCCTGGAGGATGGAATAGCGTAGAGGCTTTTGTTGCTGTGATTGGTTCACCTTTTGTGGCACAGAGAGAAGAAAGATTGCCAACTAGTTTGTATTGTGGGGTCATTACCAATGTATATTCCAAATAAGTGAGGTTCATATCCTGTTTAAGGTAATGCATTAATTTGAATATGGGTAAAAATTAATTACTTTTAAGAAAGTACCCAAAGCCCTGTTTTCAAAAGTTTCAAATATTAGCCTCCTTTGGGATTTAGGAAGTTATAAAAATTGTACTGAACCCCTCCCCATCAGCCTCAATACCTTTTATAAAGGTTCCATACTGGTTGCTGGTGACAAGACAATATTCAAATTTTGTAATGAACACTGAATTCAGCTTTTCATTTTTCTAAATACATTATTTTAAGTCTTATTGAAAAAAAAAATCTCACTCTAGTCATTTAAAATATCATTGCAGCTTAGGAAATGAAAACGTACCGGTATTGGCATTGCTGCTTCAATACCTTTTATAAAGGTTCCATACTGGTTGCTGGTGACAAGACAATATTCAAATTTTGTAATGAACACTGAATTCAGCTTTTCATTTTTCTAAATACATTATTTTAAGTCTTATTGAAAAAAAAAATCTCACTCTAGTCATTTAAAATATCATTGCAGCTTAGGAAATGAAAACGTACCGGTATTGGCATTGCTGCTAGCAATGAAACTTACTACCAAAGGTAACCGATTGAACTGGACCACCTTAAAAAACAAACAAAGGATCCTCAAAAACAAAAAACAAAACAAAACAAAACAAAACAAATCAATAGATGACTTGTCAGAACAACAATGTAAAACCTGCTACACTCATTCCCTAACCAACCCTGCAGCCCTTATTTATGCAACTGGTCCCATCAATTTAAATTCTGAATAGGAATAACAACTGGGAATAGGTATTAAAGATTCAGCACTAAAAGGTGCTAGCAGAGAGATAGCAATCCCATTTTGTGGCACACAGAGCTATGCAGTATCTTACACTTTGTTGAAGCAAAATGCAGGACAATGTAGCACTTTAAAGGCTAACAAGATAGTTTATTAGATGATGAGCTTTCGTGGGCCAGACCTACTTCCTCAGATCAAATAGTGGAAGAAAATAGTCACAACCATATATACCAAAGGATACAATTAAAAAAAATCTTTCATTACACTTTGTGAAACTGAGCCAATTTAAAAACTGTAGCATACTGTACGTGTTATTTCCTTTCTCTTAATACACAATTTAAAAAAATATTCCAGGAAGGAGATATTGCCCTGAAGAAATGAGAACTACTGAGCATAAGTTAATAGTGTCAAAAGAATGTCAAGCCAACGCATTCAGGGTCAAACAGCTCCTTTTTTACATAGTTTCCATCAAACAAAGCTGAGCATGGCAAGTTTGAACAAGCTTTTTTTCATTTGTTTGAATTAGCACCTTTCTGTAAATTCTGCTCATCAGTCCACAGAGAACTCAGGAGTGTGAAATTGTTGAAAGATGATGAATTTCAGTAGACATAAGGTTAAAATATCAATTTTATAAACTGAACTGTTTTGTAAATTTCCTTGCCCAGACACTATTCCTGATCGTATGTATATAAAACACGAACATTTTCCCCCAAAAGAATTATTTTTGAATTGCCAGCAACAAATACAAATTTAGAACAAGGACATGTAGATATTAGGGATTTGCAACAGGCACCATCTGCTGGAGAACACAGTGATCTTCAAGTACTGCCCTGAATCAGTAACTCATTTACTCATGCTAGGAAATAAAAGCTTCTTTCGATCCATATTACAAACAAATCAGTATAACAAGCTATTCTTGTATTTTAGGAAAAAAAATACATATTTAAATTTAATCAAACCTCTTTGAAAAGTCAGGATAGAGAGTTGGGTTTGTTTGTTTGTTTTTTAAGTCAGGTAGGAATAATTCTGGCCAATAGATAGATCAAGACAACATTGAAATCTCTTACCTGGTATGTGTTGTAGTAACAGATGATACTTTTGTTTTTTGAAAGCCCTAGTTTGCTGCCCTGGTCTGTCGCAAGTGCAAAAGTGGACAAGAAACCAGGTCTAAGTGCATGCTCTGGAGCATTATCATTGGCAACTGGAACAAAACATATTTTACATTGGTAGAAGATCTTTGTACATATGGATCAGGCAACAGTAAACTAGATCAGATGTCATCCATATAAAACTGCTCTTACCTGCTTCCCACTTTCCCTCAAAAATGAATCTCATCTGATGTGCTTTGGAAGATGCATGTATAGCTCTTTATAACTCTGTATAGCTTCATCACCACTTCACCAGCCAGCTTTCCTAATGTCCTGAGGATCGTTTATTTTCTATACACTGGTTTGCTGCACCATGATCTGTGCTGATGCTGTTGTGTTTGATTGTCTCACTTCCAGGAGCATGCAAGACCCAGTCCATTTCACCCAGATCATGTTCATGTCATAGGTCTGCCTTCAGGTTCACTTATATATGAAACTCCTATTGAGCGTCCGTAAATGAGATGGGACCCAAAAACCATCTACAGAAACTTGAATCTTTGGATTCTTAACTTCCGCCATTGTGCCCATAGCACAAGACATCTCATGTTACTGATCAAAAGTAAGGTAAGGATAGCATAGCCCCCAACACAAACACGTTCAGAATTAAGTCAACAGCAAATGGCTGCATTTATCAGTGGGTAGCATTTGGCCATATCAGTCTTAGGATGAAACTACTGCTAAAGCAATCCTGGCATTGTCTACTAATATGAGTGCAGCTTTATGGTATGAACGCATTACATGATTCCAACTCTCTTCACAGAGGATATGACATGACGTGCCTACAGACTATGGTTTTAAACACGCTGCATATACCTAGATAGAGAATGCTCTCAAGAGAGATAACTTAGTGTCCAATAAATCCTTGTTAAAACATCCCAAATTTCAGCATGTTTGACTTAATGCTTAGATCAACCTCTAATATTTACAGTAAACTAAAGACAGGAGGAAGAGAGTCCTGTCTCTATTAGGAAGCCAGTTTTTGTCTTTCAATTAAAAATGTCTATTATTATACAGAAGATGTACAATCAGACTTATGATTTACCTTTGATAACAGGCACACCATCTCGGTCTGACACTAAAATAGCATGAAGACCTTCAACACTAGAGAAAACAAAGTGTTGTTTTTACCAAGCTGACATGCTAGCAGCACAGTTCATTTTTATTCAGCAAACACATACCAAAGTGGGAAGTAGCAAGGAGAGATGTGCAAAAAGCGCCCACCATTAAACTAGCTTTTTGTTATGTGATCACCCAAGGGACCAAAGGCAGACAGTTATTAGAAGTTCAAGCAGAATGATATTGGAAGGTCTGGAGGTCCTGCAGCTTCAGAAAAGGAACTGCTATTCCAGGAAGTGCAGTTTTCACGGTATTTGCACGCAGTTCCAGAGCACAATGATTTAATGGTGCTAATGACTGACCTAGCCTAGCTACTTACGGTACTGAGAAACTGGAAACTACCAAGAATTGCCAAGTCTCCAGAAAGACAGTAGGACGTGTTGCTTGAATACAGGAGTTATTCCAGTAACAAGAGCCTTTTTAAAACACTATTCCCTTAAAATGAAGAATATTGTCCTTCTTTTGGAATGGAGAGATGGATAGGTTTTTTTTAAACTGACTTTTAATTCACTCAAAAATACAATGTACTAAGTTTCAAGATAAGTGTCTTATTAGAAGATGGGTTAACAAAGGATAGATTTTTGCAGCCAGATAAACATTGTTCAGACTATAGCAGGACTGGGCAAAATACAGCCAGGGGGCTGAATCTGGCCTTGCAAGCCACTGGATCCGGCTGCGGACTGCCCCTGCCGGGACCCTCAGGCACACAGCTTCAAGTTCACTCCATGCATCTCTCTACTCTGCAGGGAGGGGGAGGCTTCCTGCAATCTCCTCACCCCCAGCCCAATCTTCAGCTCCGATTGACCAGAAATTACTGGTCAATAGGAACTGACCCCAGCCAATCTCTCAGCTCCTAGTGGCCAGAAACAACTAGCCAATAAGATCTGAGAGATTGACCTGGCAGATGGGAGCAGCGCAAATTTCTTCCCTATCCTGGAGCTGAGACACATGTGGGGTTTGCAGCCTGCAGTTGTAAGTGATTTGGGGCTTCAGCAGGCAGGGAGTCCAGCCTGCCTTGGGAGTGCTGAAGGCTTAAAAAAGCACCTCCCAGGCAGAGCCTGCCTCTGGCACCCTGCCCGTCCTGCACCCCAACTCCCTCCCTCAGGTCACCATCCAAACACACTGCACCCCCCTGCCCCAGGCCATAACTGCCTCCCAGAGCCTGTACCCCACCCTGCTTCACCCCTCCCCCAGGCCAGAATCCTCTCCTGCACCCATACAGCCTCCCAGATCCTGCACCCCAATCCCCTGCCCCAAGTCACCACCTACACCATCTGTAGTGTGTATCCTCTTCTCCCAGGTCACAGCTCTTTCCCAGACTTTGCGTTCTCTCCTAGTGCCTCTGTCCTAGGCCAGAATCCTCTCTTGCACCCAAACCACCTCACTGACCCAAGAGCCCTATTCCCTGACCCAGGTCACAACCTCCTCCTTTGCCCAAACTTCCTCTCAGACCTCACACTGTCTCCTGCACCCATGTCCCTTACCCCATGCGCCCGCCTGTGCCCAATCTTCATCCTAGACCTTGCACCCCTCCACAGAAAAGTGTGGCCCTTGACCACTTTCCAAAATCTTGAAATGGCCCCCTGCCAAAAATTATTGCCCACCCCTGGACAATAGGAACCTATAAATTTAAATATATCATTTAAAAAAAATATCCAGACAGTATGGACAATCTGTTGGATTACTTTCACTGAAGTCCATTAAAATCCAAATAAATGTTATCATACATTAATTGTAAAACAGCACACAGTACAAAGTGAATACTGTAGCATGATAATTAGGTTACCTTGGTAATTTTTTGTACAGAAACCTTTTCAGGTCCTATAAAGAAAAAAAACAAAGTTATGAAATATGTTTTATTTTCAAAATATGTATAAAACAGTCTCAATTTTATCACAATAGAAACTATTCATGTCATTTTTTAAAACTTCCTGTTTCTTCCTACCACCAAGTATTTTTTAAAAACTGTACTGAGACACATTTTTTAATTATAATCTAACCAAAACCCCCAAACACCTTCTTTGGTACTTTTATATAAAATTAGCCAGTGTTCCAGAATTTGCATATATATAGAACTTATATTACTTATTCATTTAATTCTGTTAATCATTTCAGAAGCTCTGAGAATGTACATAGTTTGTTAACCAACCAAAGTACATTTAAGTGAAATGGCAGCAAGCACACTATTGCATTTCACACTTCTCCCGAAGTGTTTTAAATATAACCTTTCATGCTAACACACTAACTACATAGCGTTTTGAACATCTGAATACATTTGCTGAAACAAATGCATGTCCCAGCACATCTGAACTTTGTTTTAGCATCTTCCAGCTATAATTATTTCACATGTTACTGACCAAAGAGCAGATTCTCCCTCCTTTTGCATAATCATGTCATTTAGTTCTGGACATCCAACACTCTGGTCATCTGAAGAAGTGGATTGTGCCCAAGAAATCTCATGATACCATCTACATTTTCTGGTAGCACTTTAAAGACTAACAAATTATTTGTTGTTTAAGTTTATCCTGTACAGACTAAGTAGGCTACCCCCTGAAGCTTTTGAAACGTCATTCTCAGACAGTGAAGGCCTATTTTCCTTTCAAAGTGTTTATAGATGTCTAAGGACTTAGTCCTACAAATACTTTAGCTCATTAGGGTTTCTAGGTGTCCAGTATTGACCCAGACAATCAGGTATTTTCGCCTCCTGTCTGGTAAAAAAATTCAGAAGATACCAGACACCTAAAATGTCAGGTATTTTCTGATTTTTTTCCCGGCCAGGGGGCGAAAATAAGGGACACCTGGCAACCCTAAGCAACCAGGCCCAGCCTGCCTGCTTCCCCCACCGAATACCTCATTCTGCAGGGAAGCTGTCTGGTCCAAAGCAGGGAGAAAAGGCAGAGAAGATGGCCGAAGTAGCGTCGCAAACAGCTGCCTCTCAGAAAGTCATACCTAGGGCGTACTGAGCATGTGTTATGCAACTGAGCATACTCAGCAAAAGCTGCTGTTGCTGTGGCCCTCACTCTGCTGCTATACCTGCAGCCTGTTAAGAGAGGCAGAGCCCAGCCCCTGTTCTTAAAGGGACCATGCAGGGTTTTTTTGTTTTTTTGCGCTTAACTCTCAGGGCCCCCCCCCCTTTTTTTGCTCAACAACTTTGGTCTCCCCTGCCGCCCCCCTTTTTTCCCCCACCAACAGAATTTTTTCCTCTGTTTTTTTTTTGGGTGGGGGGTCGTCAGTATTTTTGGTTAAACCATCTGGCAACCCCATAACTCACGCATAGCTTTACTGCCATAAGTCAGTTCCACTGCACTGAGTGAGGCTTCATAAAGGCACGCCCATATGGATCAGCATATAGGATGGGTCTGTAAAGTAAGCTTTTTAGGGCAGGTAGCATATTTGCAAAATACTTACATCGGCCATGTTTTGAAACTTTTTAAATAAATCAGATGTACTGTCAAAGTTCCTGAAAAATAAGAGCCAACAATAGTCATGCACATAAGCTTTTATCTGCTCTCTTTCTCTTTTTTTGTTTAGTCTCACATAAAATTAAGGAGGGAGCAACATCCCTATTAATTTCTAGCATTCCCTAGCTTTCCTTCCTCTGCCAACGTGAAGAATATAATGCCCAAGGCACCTGCCCAAGAGAGCGAGTTCTGGGCATTGAACTGCTCTTAAAAGAAAATGTCTTACAAGATGCACACAAGCCCTTCTCCAGAGGGCCTTCCTCAAAAGTAGTCCCAGGGGCAATCATGGATCAAAAGCTGCATAAATAAGATAGAGTCTCAGGGCAAGTCTACATTTAAAAAGCTACAATGGCACAACTGTCCAGATGTAGTATTTTAGGTTAAGGTCCTACTATGCTGACAGGAGAGCTTCTCCAGTCCACAAAGTTAATCCACTTCCATAAAAAGCAGTAGCTATGTTCACAGGAGAAGCTCTCAGACAGCACTATCAGACAGCACCAAGAGTTAGGTTGTTATAACTGCATCACGTGGGATGGGGGTTAAGGATCAGAATCCCCTTCAGTATTTGAACCAAGCCAGGTTAGTGAATGTGCCAACCAATAGACCAAATCTGGTGATTAATCCTGGTCACATGCCACCTGAAGCATGATGTGCATATGCTAAGAGGACAACTGCATGGCATAGGGATGTGGATTTTTCATACCCCTGAGCTACATTTTTATGCCAATGTAGGTTTGTAGTGCAAATCTAGCTTCAGGGATTGGGCGCTAAAAAAAAAAGGGGGGGGGGAATGAGTGTGAGGTTAAGGTAAGTATACATTATTTCTTGATATTCTCTCTGGCTACGTCTACACTAGCATGATTTTCCGGAAACGCTTTTAACGGAAAAATTTTCTGTTAAAAGCATTTTCGGAGAAGCGTATCTAGATTGGCCACGGGCGCTTTTCCGCAAAAAGTGCTTTCGCGGAAAAGCGTCTTGCCAATCTAGACATGCTTTTCCTCAAAAAAGCCCCGATCGCCATTTTCACGATCGGGGCTTTTTTGCGGAAAATAAATCTCTGCTGTCTACACTGGCCCTTTTGCGCAAAAGTTGTTTGGAAAAAGACTTTTGCCTGAACGGGAGCAGCATAGTATTTCCGCAAAAGCACTGACAATCTTACATGAGGAAAAAAGGAGGGACAGGTGAGGAAAATCTGTTCTATGAGGAAAGATTTAAAAAAAAAAAAAACACACACAAGGAGCTTGGGGCTGTTGACAGAAAAAGAGGGTGGGGGCTGGTAGAAAAGGGTTGCTAGAGGGACTGAGATCAATCGTTGTCTGTATCCTCTAAGAGCAGCAGAAGCAGTAACGGGCCGAAGGCAGCCTGGCTACGGGGCAGCGGAGACCCGGGCCAGGTTTCCAGAGCAGGCTGGAAGGTCCCCTCCCTGCAGGTTTCTAGCACAGACGGGACAGACACCGGTCAGGCTGGGCCAGGGTTACCTGACCCTACGGGGGGCCGGGAGACGCTCAAGCCCGGGCGTTCCCGCACGGCGAGGGGGGGGCTAGCGAGAAAGGGGCCGCGCCGTGGGCTGTGGCGGCGCTGGCGGGAGGCGGGCCCGACCGGGCCCCTATCGCTCGACTCCCCGCACCGCATAGAGGGAGGAATCAATACAGTAGGCCCTACAATAACACTAGCTACAGCCCCCCTGCTCCCTTACCCTGGTCGCTTCCGGGATCCCCGCAACAACAGCCCAGGCAGCGAGCGGCCGCTTCTCCTTTAGCCCTCGATCACGTGATGCCCCACGCACGAAACAATCACAGCCCTCCCGCCCCACCCACCCCTGCCGGCGTCACTTCCGGCTGTAGCGTCAGCTCGGTCTCCCGTGTAGCTACGGAGCATGCCCGACCGTGAGAGCCGTGACAGGGCCACGCGAGTGGGAGCGCGCAACCACGGCGGCGTCTTTGCCCGCTTCCGCCCCAACGCAGAGGGTGCGGAGGCGATCATGTGACTGCACTTCGTTGAGCCGCGGCCGGGCCCTGGAGGCGTCCAGAGGCGCGCGCGCACCCTGTTGCGGAGCTCGCGCTGTTGAGCATGCTCCGTAGCTACGCCCAGCCCTGGTTGTCAGGCATCGCAAAGCCGGCGGTGCTGGTGCTGCAGGGATCTTGCTAAGGGGGCGGGGCAGTGCGGGGGGCCTGTCTGCTAGGGCTGGAACCAGAGACCATTAGGACTGGAAGGGACCTGGCTGGAGAGTGTCCAGGCCCCTGCCTCAGGGCCCAGCATCGTCTCTAGGCCAGCGGTTCCCAACCTTTTCCAGATGGGGATCCATTTCCACAAGTGAGGAAGACTTGGTGACCCATATTTGGGTCCCGACCACAGGTTGGGAAACCCTAGTCTAGCCAGGCTCTGATAGATGTGTATTCAACCCACCCTTAAATATCTCCAGTGACAAAGATTACATGACCTGTGTTTGTGGGTAATCAAGATGACTCTGCTTCTTCCCTTGGTGCTGTGAGGAACATGCCTAAAAGCTGAGTCTCGGTGCTGCATAAGGGTAGGGAAGAGTGTGCTTAGTTCTGGCTCACACCGAAGCTACCCCTGCTACGGGCTCTGCCTTTGTAGTAAGAACTTGCAGAGCCACACCAGGGGTAGCTTCCGGGGCCAGCACATAGGGTTGCAAGATGATTGAAACAAAAATACCAACCCTCCTCCCCCCCCCAAAAAACCCACCAGGAAAAAATTCTGTGGGGGGGGAGAAGAGAGGGGAAAGTGAGGGGAAACCAAAGCTGCTGGCTCCCCCAACCCCCCCAAAAAAAGACTCCAAGGACTTAAGCCAAAAAACAGCATGTCCCCTTTAAGGGTGAGTGCATGGATAGGAACAGGGAAGTGGTTGAGCACTAAGACCCAAGGGGAAGATTGCTTCCCTTAGGTCTTTTGGCCAGTAGCTATTTTGTGCCAGCAGCCTTGGGGAACCAGGTAAGCATGGGGGCTGAAGTCAGAGGGGCTAGGGGTGTTGGGAGCTGGGGGGATGCGAGGGAGTGGGAGGCCAGGCACTGAGTGTTTGTAAGATTGCCATGTGCCCAGCATTTTTGCCTCCTGGCCAGGGAAAAATTCAGAGAATACTAGACATCTCAGGTGTCTAATAGTCTGAATTTTTTTTTTTACCAGGCAGGAGGAGAAAATACAAGACTGTCCAGGTGAATACCAGACACCTGGCAACCCTACCAGCACGAGCCAGGACTAAGCAGTCTTGGCTCATGCCAGCCCTGGGACTGCTACGGCTCTGCATTTTAAATATAGTAAGAGCTCACTGCATTTAAAATGCAGAATTGCAGCAGGGGTAGCAAGCGCCCCCCTCATTATTGACTAATGGAGTAGGCATTGGAAATTCCATTGACTACTCATTTAGCTAATTAATCACAACTTAACATCCCTAATGTCCACAGTAGGAAATTTCAAAATAATTAAAAGTAACTCCAAAAATAACAATCAAAATAGCATGTCCCCGACCACACAGGAGCCTCAAAATTAATCCGAGGCAGGCTCCATTGTTGTAGATACGCTACCTCGTCTTAGAGCCCTAGGAAGTACTGGGAAATACTTACTTCAAATTACTCTGGGGAGTAGTTAGTTATTTTGAAATATTTCAAAATAAGTATTCTCCGTATGGAAAGTAGGAGTACAGATTTCAAAATACCCAGCTTGTTATTTTGAAATAATAGGCTTGGTAATGTGGACGCTCCGCTTATTATTTTGAAATATGGGGAGTTATTTCAAAGTAACTCCTTAGTGTAGACCAGGGCTTAGAGCAGTGGTTTCCAACGCAGTGCTCCCCAGCACAGTGTGCCCAATAAGTGATTGGGGCTGGCCCCGCCCCCGGACACATGGCAAAGGGGCAGTGCCAGCCCCGGGCGCGAAGCACATGGGCGGCTCCGCCCCCAGACGCACAGTGCATAGGCTGTGCTGGCCCCGGGCACACAGTGTATGGGCGTCCCTGCCCCTGGGCACGCGGCACAGGAGTGGTGCCGGCCCCAGGTGCGCGGCGCATGGGTGCTGCCGACTCCTGGGCATGTCTGCCCCTGGGCACATGGCACAGGAGCAGCGCCGGCCCCGGTAGTGCAGCGTTTGGGCAGCTTGGGTGCCCGGTATGTGAATGGCCCCACCCCCAGGTGCCTGGCAGCCCCAAAAGGTTGGGGACCACTCAAAAATACATAGGCTCATGAACTTTCCTGAATAAAACCCACTTCATCAGATGAATCTTGGGGAGGAAGATGGTGATATTTTTCAGAGTGCATCCTTTTTCCCTGTAACTTTTGTAATGGTGCAAAAAATCACAGAATGAAGGACCTACCGAAACCTAATGCATGATGCAGTTTACTTAATTTTTATCTGATTATCAGGACAAGAGTGGAAGTTTACTATCAGTTTATGAATTTCTCAGCAAGATTTAAGTCATTTTCTTCTTTTAGTACTCAAGAACAGAATATCCAAATGGAGTTTGTTTGAGCCTGTCATTTCTGATAAGTTCAGACTTTTGCTGTTTACATGATCGTTCCCAGGAAGATTTTTTTTTTAAAAAAAATCTCCCCAAAATAGCGAACTCTATTTGTACACCACTTTTCTGAGTAGCTCATTTTCATTATCACTGCTGTTCACTCATTTTTAAATAAAGTAGCTTATGTGTCTTAATTATATAAACTGTAGACATACAGTATATTAAATCCAGGTTGGGATCTAATATAAAATTGTAAGGGATGAGGGGTACATATGTGCTTGTGCTACTTATTTATTTTTCTAATTTGAAGAGGAACATTGTTACTTATAAAGAAAGGATACATGTAGAACCATAATAAATCATATGCCATTTTTAACGTTAAACTCAGACATACATGTAACCCAGAAGCACTGAGAACAACGGACAAATGAGAATGAAGGCTGCTCTACAGCCTTAGCTGAGAGAGAGTTGGGTTTTAGCTCAAGCTGTAGAGGCACATGGCTTTAGACACTAAGGTCCCAGATGCTGACGACCCAGGTCCCTGTGTAACAAATGCATAACTAATGAGCAGGATTAGGGGTAAAATATGGACCCTATTAAAATCAAAAGAACTCCCTCTTTCCTGTCCCCACACGCTTTTTTCCGAAAGAGCTCTTTCGAAAAAAGGTTTCTTCCTTGTAGAAAGAGGTTAACCAATGTCGGAAAAACCTCTCAGTTCTTTCGATTTTTTTCCCAAAAGAACGCGATTGCAGTGTGGATGTAATTGAAGTTTTTTAGAAAAAAAAACTAGTGTAGACATACCCTTGGAGACTAAAAAATTATATATATAGTATCATGAGCTTCTGTGCACACAACCCACTTCTTCAGACATCCGAAGAAGTGGGTTGTGACCACAAAAGCTCATGATACTATACACTTTATGACTGAAAGTTGTTTTTTTCAGGGGAAAGGAAAACACGTTTATTGAAAGTAGGCAGTTTTCCTTATGGTAATTAATGGCTGTGCAGAAAAGTCTTAATTTATAAAACAAACCAGCAATATTTTCCAAATACATAAGAATTTAAGATGAAATATTTTAGTAGCTAGATAACTTTGTCTTAAAAAGAAATAATTTATCTTATAAGATCAAATATGTGCCTATTCTTAGTTCAGTATCTACATGAGCTGAGCATAAATAAAACACAAGCCTCTGAATTTAAAACTAGAATGAATAGTTAAAGTTTTCTTTAACATGTAAATAATAAGATGTTTGCACATTTACACACTGAAAATAATTTTATTTTGATATGTCTAATATTACATTAGATATTATAAATAAGACAAGTCTCTTTAAACTTAACCTTTACATCTTGGAAATGCCATAGAGTTAGACAAAACAAAATAAGAATTTTGTTAAGATACCACCTTCATCTCACCAGATTTCCTTTGCAAGGCTTCCATTACATTATTAGGTGTATTGAACATGATTTGCAAAGCCTAATCACATTTCCCATATTGCACTGCTTTTTAAAAGTCTAAAGAACAAACATTTAAATTCCTTGAGATTTTTAAAGCTTTCCATGATTTTACATTCTCCAAATGTCAGTTTCACAACTGACCATACAGCCAATGCCAGCAGCAAGTTCAGAAACGTCATTTGAAATGTAAGCCATTTCTAACTACCTTCCCCAGTTTAAGTTGAGAAATGCTTTTACTTTGTGAGATTTCAGATTTCTGGGAAGCGCAAAAGGCTATCATTTTCTTTTAAAAACGGACTCTAATGAGAATGTTTACCCACATATTGGGGGAAAAAGTATTTAAAGATTAGTTACACCAGAACCCTCAAATTTGGATGGATAGTTGTAATGCCTAATGGAAGCCCTGTTCTGTGCAAATTTACAGTGGTACAATATTAAACTATCACAAAGTTTGAGGTATTAGCTGGAAAAGAAATATATACACCTATAGACATGCACACACAGTATTCACAAGTCTAGTGGTCCCAAGACCAGCAAACCTTGGTATTTAGTGAAAAGGAATCATGTACTTGCCAGGAAAATTATATATGCAAAGAAGCCTTAAAAACACACATCACATAACCCTTAATATAAGGAATATGTTATGTTTCTGTTCAACATGCTTAAAAGGGAAATTATTTAAACACATTGAAAAAAATTCTTATCTTTAATAGTGAGTAACCAAACAGAAAATGGGAGTCTTAAACCTGAAACTTTCCTTCAAGATTACAAAGTCATCTAAAAGAGGGGATACCAAGTGGTCTTATTTTCACCTGCTTTCCCTGAAACACACAGACTAGATCTTCATGAAGGCAAAAAGGATGAGTTTCATTTTCCTTCTCCCAAGTTTTTCCTATGAGGTCCCCCCACTTCCAACTTCTACAGCTAAAACTGTTGAGGTTAGAAACGTAGATAAAGCAATTTATTCCATTAATCCAAAACTTGACATACTGATCATTGTGTTCATTCAATTCCTCTACTCCACTATGTGGAAGGAAAAAAACGCATCTCCATGGCTTATGCAGATTTAACAGAAGAAAGGGAACCTTGTATTGGTTCTTGATCATGGAACCTAAGCTTCCCACAGGGTACAGGCAGTCCCGGACTTATGTCGGATCCGCAGTTACGAACGGGGCTGCCCCAGAGTACACGGACTGCGGGACCTCGCGGTCCTGCCGCCCGTGTACTCTGGGGCTTTCTCTGTGTCTCCCTGCTCTGCAGACCAGGAAGACGCAGAGCAAAGCCGCGGAGGGGCTCGGGCAGCCCAGGGGTGCCTGGGCTGCCCTCCCCCCCCTCCCCCCACGGCTTTGCAAAGCCTCGGGGAAGTCGGCAGCGGAGCAGTCCAGGCGCGCCTGGGC